CTGATCAGCAATATAACAATGCCATTAATGACTAAATACTTTGGTCAATGTGACCCATTTCGATGAGTGTTTTGATGGTATTAAATAAGGCTATGCAAGTGATTTCAAATATTTCCAATAATAATTTTCTGAAGTTGAAGCATTTGCACTTCCGGTCTGTTTTGTGAGTTTGATAAAAAAAATTATGATACCAGATTTTAGCAGGAACCATATAGATCTATGGTAATGGATATTTAAAAAAGTGCGAATAAATTAAAGAGAAAATCCATTTAAGTTGATTGTTAAGCCCCTTTTTAACTACAGTATGAAATACACATTCATATTTTTATCAAAACAATTTATTGACTAACAACATTTTCAAATATGATCACAGGCTTGGCAAAATAAATAAATAAATAATAAAACTATAACTAATGTTGAATGTGGTCCATGCACTCACACATACACCCACAAATGTGCTTAGATCAAAGTTTGAAAAGGGGTTGGGGCAAACTAAAAGACATTTTGAAAGAACATGTCTCTCAGTTAAAAGGGGAGACAACAATGTACATGAATTAATATTGAGAATTTTTTAACCTTAAAAATCAAGTTTAAAATACGTAACAATAAACTGTTAGTATGCCAATTTATCACACTCGCAAAATTTCAGGACATTTTGTAAGTTTCTAAGTAAAAAGAACATAATTATGTCAAAATGCAATTTAAGAGTTGTGAATCTTGGCCTCCCGAGTAATTTTATTGAAAATTTTAAATTAATATATAAACTAAACTTAAAGATAAAGAAATACTATCACAATTGGACATAACAAAGTGATTCCTACACAGTCTTCCCTAACACTGTATGGTGAAGGTATAAAAATTTAATATGCAAAAAGCTACAAAATACAACAATAATAAGTTAATCATGGTGCTATGTACAAATAAATTAAGAAAACAATACGAGCCTAATGTTTTTATACAACCTATAGTTTAAAAGTATCAACATAATGTAGCAATATAACGTGTCCCCCTCGTGCAGTTACAGGTTAACTCCTTATATAATTTAATAGGTGTTCACCTGTTACTGCACTAAGGTGATGATATATCTGATTTTACATGAACTGACAACATTAAATACATTTCAATTAACCATATAAATACTGAACATTTTAATTTATTAAATTGTAAATTGTATTTTTTTTATTAAACCTATGATTTAAAGATATAAAATTACAAGTTTTTTAAATAAAAAAATTAATAATTCAATGAATTTCAGGCATGACTTTAAAACTAAGCTTGATAAATACCTCTGGTAAGCTTTGCATATGATGAATTACTTTGCTTCTCAACTGAGTGTGACTTTGTTGAGTCATCCCAAGGGCATGTAACTGATCACTGCTGGCCCAAAAGAAACAATTGCCGTCATCAGGAGTAGTACCTGGAATCTTCCAACCTTTTCTGCGAATTTTATTTTCAAACTCGCTTAGAGTTTCATTTTTATGCTCTGTTGAGTAGTTATATATATAAGACTCAATGCTGTCTGTAAGCACACCTCTCAGGTTAGTCTCTCTCTCACAATTGTTAGTATTACTAGCTACTACTTTATTAAGGTTAGGTATTAAGCAAAAGCAGAGCAAAAATGCAGTGTTTTGGCAGAATTCAAATGGTTAGTATTTTAAAAGACTAAGGACTACAATAACTGAAAATTGAATATGCAGGAACTGCATTCAAAAAATGTGATAACAAAAATGATTGCAGAATTAACAGTAATTATCATAGATGAAAAAAAAATTACTGTATGTCTTTATTGTTATTGACTTGGTTACTGTTTAGAAATAATATCAAATCTCATCATACTAATTGGCATATTTGTTTACATGAGTTTTATAGTGTTTTTTTTTATATCTACTTCAATTGTTTATTAGTCTGCTGAAAATAAAACAAAGTTAACTACAATTGCCGAAAAAGAGAAAAATGTCAGGAGTGTAACACTTTTCACTATTCTCACATACTGTATTTTACTTATATTGCATACTTAATCTTCAATAATTGTATATAAATGCTTTGTTCTGCAAAGAGTATATACATGATTTTAATTTCTCAGTAATTTCTTTAGTGTATTATCATTAAATTTCAATGATTATACTTGTCAATAGTAGACATTTAGGAAATTTTGATGTTATTTAAGTAAATATACTAAAAACAGAACTTAAGCATTGTGGTTTCTTAAAAAAAAACAAAAAAACAAATACTTAATTACTTTTCCTTATGAATAGTGGCAAGAATCATATTTAGATACGAAATTTATATGGTATATTCATGAAATCGTTACAAGGTTAAAAGATGGCAAAAATAGTGTTACACTCCTGACATCACTGATGATCATGTACAGAAAGTGCATGATTTAGTTAACTTGAACTAATGTCACTGCTGACATCCCTTGGACTCATGTTTTTGAAAAAGAAAGAATATATTAATATAACACCTTATATGCAATAAGGAAATCAGTAAAAGTACAAGATGTTACACTCCTGACACTGAGCACTGTCATTATTTTGAATCGAAACCGAGTCAATAACATTTATAGCATAGAAAAAAGAGAATTTATATTCTTAACTATATACAATGGTCAAAATGTTAGAAGCAAGGAAAAGCTGTTTATAACAAAGATATAAGCAGAAACTTTACTGTTAGTACAAACCATGCTTTTTTTAAAGTACATTTTATTTTACAACGACTGACTTTAGTGACTAGATAACCAAGTGGGATACCTACATTTTACAAAAAAAAATAAGAAAAAGCAATTGCGAGAGCATAAGATATATAACATAAGTGACAAAAATTGTCATTTAAGAAACTGTTTTTCTGTATCAGGAATAGAGAATCATCATTTGTGTAAAATGTCACACTAAAAGTGTTACACTCCTGACATTTTAGGGTAATTTTTTTCTTGTATCTTTTTCACTTGTAACGTGATGTCCCTGAAACTTGGCATATTTTACAACACTGATAGATGCTATATTTAGCACTTATAACAATATACACAACTATTAAAATATTAATCTGGGTAGCCTTTAAATGTTTGGCCTCATTATTTTTGACTTTACCCATAAGACATTTTGCCATGTTTTCTCGTTGATTTGATTCTATATTTCAAAAATCTATTAAAACCTTACTTCAATCTTGTAATTAAGAATTAATTATTTAACTTTACCATATATTTTAGTCACGGAAAAACAAGGTAAATATATCAAACATTTTGGTAACTTACAACTACCATTTCTTATTTCAGATTTTTTAGGTAAAAATGTTTTAAGATTTCTGTGAAAATCATGTGGTGCCAAACTGACATAACAGAATAATGACATTCTATATTTAATGAAGACATCTGGCAAATTATGTGAAATTATCGTATAATTATTTCTTTCAAAATGTACCTGTCCTGGTGAATAAATAACAGAGCATAATAAACATTTATTTGGCATTAGATCATCATGAAGGGGCGTCCGTGGCCGAGTGGTTAAGGTCGTGACTTCAAACCACTTGCCCCTCACTGCTGTGGGTTCGAATCCCCGACAGGGACTTTGGATTCTTTCATTTGAGGAAGCTATCCAGCTAGCTTACGGAACGTCGGTGGTTCTACTCAGGTGCTCGTTCGTGCCTGAAATATTGCCTCACCTGAGGTCTTCCTCCACCAGTAAAGCTTGAACGTCGCGATATGACCTATACTGTGTCGATGTGACGTAAAACCCAAAACAAACAAAGATAATCATGACATATTTATAGCGAAAAAAGCTATGAATTATAAAAAAGTAAAAATAAAACATGAAATAAAAATACCAAATATATTTTACATACAAGATATATAAATAATTTGGCAGCAGCTTGTCAAACAATGGTATTCTCAACCGGAAATCAGAATATCTCTGTAGGCGAAAGTAAGAATGCAATATTCAATCTTGAAGATCAACAATATGTCAAACTTGTTCCAACATTATATTCATTTTATTTAACTGAAACAATTATGTTAAGTTTCTCTTTTAACATGTCACTACTGTATGTGCTAAAGGGGAGATAAATCATTGAATGATTTCACTTAAGTATCATAGCAGTTATATGCCTTTAAATTTGCTGAATGACATTCATTCGAACAGCATGGTTAAATGACCTGGGACTTACATAACCAAACAAGTCTAGGAAAGGGAAATGTTTCAAGCAAGTTTTATAACCTTAGTATCTAGTTGGTGTTTATGAAATGATAATAAATGAACATAATCAGATGAAAAAAATATTTCATTGTTATATAATATTCATTCAGATAGACATTATTCTAACTCTGAGAAATGTGTGTTTTCTCCCAGCTGATCTGTTTGTACAAACAAACTTTTACCGCTATAGCTTCATGGTGCACTACCCGTTACAAGAGAATTGTGAACCTTTTTCGCTTATTTTCCAAGCTGTAACTGTAAAAGTTTGTTTGTAACTAAAGAATAAGCTGAGAAAAACCCCAAATAGTCTTAATTCTGGAGATAGTCTATTAATTTGAAAGTCAGTTCTACATAAAAGACTATACATTGACAGTTATTGATACATTTTCGAAATTGACATTCAAGTCTCTGCCCATTTCCGCAGAATCTACAGTTTTAGTTAAGATATGATTTTTATGAAGTGAGTTATAGCACTTATTAAATGCAGCACATATATGTCATGTGATAGTTATGGCACATCTTCTGCAATAAATTTTTTTCCACATTAGTTACGTCTGATTTTGATACAGCAAAAAATATGTGTTTAATAAGTCAAATGTAATTTCTGACTCTGAAAATTAAGTTGATTATATGATCTAAAAATAGGTTAAAATAGGAAAATATTCCTATCTATCCATCTAGCAATAACAGCAGTGAGCAATAGGCTTACAACAGTAAAATGTTAATATTAAGAATTCTATTCATAATGTACATGTGATATCAACTGTATAAAAAATAACTTTCATACATAAAGTACATGTAATGACAAAAAAATAATTTGTAAACAAAAAATGAAGACAAAGATCTATGAAAAGCCACAAGCAAAAACTAAAAAGCAAAAGCTCTACTTTCCTTCAATTTAACTACATTGTGTAGATTTCAAATTCTATAAAGATTGCCAAAGTATGGACATTTTTTAGAAATAAATAAGAAATTTAAATATAAAATTTACAAGGTACTGGCATAATGTGATAAATCTCAGCTTTGTGACATACAGTTTTTCTGAGCAATATAATGTGTTCCTCCCTTCTTCTGCTGCATCAAATATACTGACCTCACTTCCTCTTTGATTGATTCCTAGTAATATCAAAGCTAGCCAATCAATATCAAGTATTCAAACTGAGGCTAAGGCAGGTACACCTGGTTCCCTAAAATCTAATTCCTCCCATTGTTATGGATCTAAACACAATTATGTATGAACATTTCATTTACATGTATATTTATCTAAACAGTGCTTGCAAAAACTGGCAAGGTTCTTGATGCCTTAAATCTGTTAAATTTCTATACTCTACCAAGAGAAGTTCAACACAGGCCTGGTTACAAAGATTCTCCTTGAAATTGTTAATTCCCAATGTACCAAAAGAAAAAAGAAAAACATTCAGGAATATCTCAATTTAGACATGATGAAATTCATATCTAGCTGCCACTGATTCAATATAACTTACAAAAAAAATCTTCCGCAAATTACAAAGGATATTAATTACGACAAAGATGTATGTCTTTCCTTAAAATATCAAATCCTTGTACAAAAAAAAAAATCTTCTTTGCAGATGGTGCTATGGCAAGTTGAAACTCAATTCCTGCTTCCATGGTTTCCATTTGTTCTAGAAATTAACCAATCATTACTGAGATGAAACCCAATTCCAGTTTCCATTGGTTCCCTTTGTTGTACCAATTGACATATCATTATTGAGGATCTGGATTTAAACATGATGAAATCCCTCTCCAGCTTCGGCCGGTTCCCTGAACTCTGAGTGCCAGCCATTCGTTTGGATTGGACACATGGCTAATTTTGTCCTCACTTTCATAGACTGATCTCTCACCTTGAATATAATCCATTGAATTGTCTTCACCTGAAGATGAAAATGTAATAAAAATAAATATAATATTGTAGATTACTAAATAAAATCCATCCGCATTTTAAACTTCCATTTATTTATATTTATATATGTATTTTGACAGTAAAATGCCACAAAAAGTTTTTCTCCAATCAGCAAATAATAAATACTTCCATGCAAATCAAGCGTAAATGATGGAGATATTTAAATTTTTGTAAGAAAGCATTATCAATTTAGATTTAGAACATTCTTAGAAAAACTGCTCTTTCTTATCCACAAAGGGATTGATCCTGAAGAAATGTGTGAAATTTCAAGTCAATACCTTTATTGATTACAATCACAAAATGTTTTAGCAACAGCTCTTCATTTTGGACAGCAACCTATCATTCCTGACCATATGTTTAGTCTTGAGTCAGTACTTTCAGCAAGTAATGAAACTTTTCACCTAGTGTTACTCGGTCACTGACACCAGGGCTAATACAAAAGCCACACAACTCCCCTTTATTTATTTACATAATCCAATTAAAAAATAAATCTTACTGTTTTCAGACGCAGATCCCCTGAACTTGCTGGAAGATCGTTTGAATGGCTGCTTCATTAGGATAAGCACAACACCACTGAGTGTTTTTAGTACTGGCAGATCTAGAATGCTTTGTTGTACCGTTTCCATGACAATACTCTGATGTAACCATGACTTCATGTACTTTACATCACAACCTAGTTGGCATGCCCCTGTGTAACTGTAGCAATGAGAGCATAAAAAAAATTATGAAATATTTTCAGCATCTATGATTTTTCAAACTGCTTACAAAATGACAAGATTTTTTTTATATCAAATTTCTATTTATGAGCTGTGTCTATCCATCATTCCTAGTTTACAACCAGTATAACTATCATCTTGCTGTTACAATACTTGCCATGTATTGATATAAATTTCAAATTGATCATTCTTAGGAAATTTTAAATACTAAAATTCATAGCCAATTTTAGTGCTAAAATTTTCCATTCTTAGCCATATTCAATATTAAAATTGTCCATCATTTGCCAATTTGGATACTTAAATTGTCCATTTTAGCCAATATCAATATAAAAATTGTCCATTCTTAACCAATTTCCATACAAAAATTGCCCTTTCTTAGCCAATTTCAATATTAAAATAGTACAGAGTTTAGTTGTCTGACATACATATTATCAGCAAACTCTTATCATCACTTGTTCCCTCTGACAAAAAAAAAACAAAAAAACAAAAACAGCAACATTTCTAAGACCTTCAAACAAGGACAGGCATTTTTCATACCAATACATGAAAATAACAAAATTGGATTAATTTTTATAAAAATTTCAAAAATACAGACCTAAATTTGATTTTTTCCTGAAGTATAAATGACATCCATGCCTGACACAGTGCCTCAGTTGCTATGGAGATAACACTGAGTTGTACCGTCTGCTTTAACTTGCTAACACCCTCTAAAATAGGCTCTAATATGGTCTCTAAGGCATGTTCTATGTATATATTGTGATCTCTAGGTACTTCTGAAATGATAAAATTATTCTATATTGATGAATTGCCATGTACAACAATAATTTTTTATATTCTGAATTGGTCGAGTAGGTTACTGTCTTAAATTTATATAAATGTTCAATATGTTCAACACTTGATTATACATTACTGATTATAAATTTTATTATTTACATATGATATTAAGAATAATTTTGGCTTTTGAGCTAAGTCATTTAACTCTTAGCCTGCTTGCATCAACACATTTTCCTTATGCTGTCTGATTATGGTCTGCACTGATTGCTATTCAGGAAGTACTTATTTTGAAATATTCCCTAAAAATGATGAATGGTTTAATCAAGACAGACGCTAAGATAGGCAAGTCCATTTAAAAATAATTTAGCAGGGTAGGTGTAAACCATGCTCAGCATGTACAGATATATTCAGCAACAAGGCAGTAACTATTTAATACACTACAACATGTGGTGAAGTTTTCAAAATATGACATCAAAGGATTGCCATAATCACTTTCTAAATTTTTTAGCAAAGTCCCTGGTTTACTAATAAAAAAGTTTATCTGCCAACTTACTCTTTACTAGAAACCAGAAAGGGTTTTTCTAATATATCTAACCCAACAATAGTTTGTTTTGTTTTTCGTAAAAAGAGTTCAAATTTTGAATATTACATAAGATTGCAATCCTTGGCACTCAAAATCAAAACATGATTAAGTGATAATCTGCTACTTCAATTTTCAATTACGTTTTAGATATTTTCTTGATATTATTTCAAGAAATTTTATGTAAATACAACTGATACAATTCTTGGCATTACCTGCTTCTGGTTTTTTCCTCCACACTTTTCCAACTGGCATATTGCCTTTGAAATATTCCATCGCAGAACTCGTACAATTTCTTGAGAATTGTTTCATACTAAGGCTAGACAGTCCCTAAAAACATACAGAAACACTGTTGTGTTAATTTGGAAGGCACAGATAGACGAACAGGGATCTTTTGGGGGCATAACAAATTATCCTATGACATTGAAAAATATCTTTCTGTAGTCTATTTAGCAATTTTTCTTATCTTTCTGATTATACTGAAGTAAATGTTTGTTATATTAAACGTTACCATGCGAAATACCTTAAATGGATTGATGATACTTATTTTCTCAGTTTGATAATTTTACCTTGTTTTTAAGCCAATGTTAAAACATTTTTTAGTCAATATCTCTGCGGCTCGTCCAGCTAACCAGCTTTCCTTGCTAACTAACCAGTAATTATTAATACCTCAACAAGTGAACTACTACTAACACCACATGATTTCTTAATCAAGGATAAGAGACAAGAGAGACCAAATATCATTAGTCCAAGACTCCTCCGAATATCAGAGATCAATTGTCGCAAAGAAATTATGCCTCTCCGGAGTATCGATCCAGTTTCCCCCGGATTACAAATTGGTAGCTCTCTCTTTATTAAGCTTACTGGGCAGACTGTAACAATCGACTTAAGCTTACTTTCAACTATCAGTGCTTTAAAATACTAAAGAAGTAACTGCTCAAGGAAAGAGTATATTATAATCACCTGTAGACTGTCCATTATGGTACTGAGCTGGTTTGCAATCTGACCTAATCCTATGACCGAATCTTGACCTACTTTTGATGACAGTGACTTGGATACCATCTGCGTTTGGTACAGAGCAGATCGGGACTCGTCAATCAAAATCTGAAGAAAAAAATTTTTTATAAGATTTACTAAAAAATATATATTATATCGCAAAATTTTAAGGGAGAACTTAATGGTCTTCTTGCTGATAAAATTTTTAGTCTGACAACAGTTAATTTTTTATTGTAAAGCTTCATTTCAATCTTAAAATAAATCTTAATAGATGTTTAACACTCATCAGATAAACAAATTAGCACAGAGGAAAGGCTATTTCTGTAACTTACTAGACAATATAATTTCTAAATACCTCCTTTTTCAAGGATTGAAAACAAATGTTTGTAATACTACTGGTGAGCTAAATTAGTCAGTGACCTGACCCACTCAGTCAGTCAAATTTTTATATTACCTTAATTCATATAATTTCATGTAAAGTTCTACCTAAGTTTTTTTTCTAAATCTGAAGCACAAGAATGATTAATTTTTCATTTTTAGTGAAGTCAAACAATTTACCTTTAAGTCAGTTTGCGAAATGAGCAGGAAGTTACCAACGGCCATTGATGCCAGATACTGATGTGTTTTATTACGACACCATAGCAACGATACACTAGATGTCGCCACCAGTCTTGATGCCACGGCAACCATCTCATTTACAGATGCCGGTAAACCTGAAAGTACAAGAAAAATTGTCAATTTTTACATACAAACAACACTTTAAAAACATCATCTTCCGGGTTAAGGTCATTTTTCTTTAGATCGGAATAAAGCAGACTGTCGGGTCAAGGCAAGGGCAAATCAAATTAATCTAATTAACTTAAAGATAAAATATTAAATATTGCCATCATGACCTTATGAACTATTGCAATATAACTTTATATTGTATTGGAATTAATTCTTTACCCTCTTCAAATTGCTTCAGTGAAAAAAACACATCATATTTCATGTAAACATTGTGACATACATACATTGGTAAAACAAATGATACAACATTCTGCTTGTAATGACAGCATGACACCAGTATGTAATAGACCATCAATCCTTTGCCAAATTTCATTGTTTTGCTTGGTTTTAGTGTTCTTTTATGTAATGCAAACAATATGATAGTCTTATGGCAACTTTCCAGCTATACTGGTGGAGGAAGAGTCGAGGCACCCCTCTGCATTATTCAGGGCACAAAAAGGGCAACTGTGCTATTGAAAACTTAAATTTAAAGATTCCACAAGAGTCTCAAACACTCACCCCCTGGGGCCGGATCAGTGTTTTCACCGAGGTTTTCTCTGAGCAGGTTGAGCACCGGTTGGTACGTATCTCGTAATAGCATTCCGGTTCTCGTACTGTAATCTCCGTCCACTAGAGGGCAGGGGTAACATTTGTCACGTCTATTAGAGGCTAGTGCTTCACACATCACTGAAAAAAATCATTCATATTTTTATAAAATCTAAATACATTAAAACTTTTCAAAAGACAATCTGGCCACTAAGGCTAAGCCACAATGCAAAGTACAGTTTTCGTTTATTTGAATTGTTTTACAGGTTTCTACACCAATCTATAACATAGCCTATGTTAGGGGGCGTGAGGGATGTTGCACTTTTTCATAATCCCAAATGTACAGACTAAATCAAACATATATACACTTGTTACTATATATAGTAACAAAATTGCCTATGATTTCAACTGATTATGTGTGTCACGTGACCCATTATGAGTTTGCGGCCCGGGGCCGAGAACTAGTTATCAGCCCGCAGAACATGTGCAAGTGCACAAACTGAAACAATGACGTCATATTTTACGTCATCAAACAATTAACTGTAAACGTAAGGTTGTCAGCACGAATCGCTAGCTTAAGCGTATTTAGTGCAAACACATTTTTGTTACTAGAAATAATACGACAAATTCATTCCGAAAAAAATGAAAATAAAACTTGCTTCTTTGAACACAAACAGTAAACATCTCTGTACAGAACAGAAGAAGAGTAGACAAGAATTTCAACGAAAGAACTTCTTGGTTTTTTTTTTTTCTTGTTTTTTTTAATGCTACTATAAGATCTACCAAGTGTATTAAAGACATTATTACACGTCAGAGTAGGGCCGGAAGGTGATAATCGGCCCTGAATGGATAATGGCCCTCGGGCTAAAGCCCTCGGGTCCATTATTCATTTTGCGGGCCGATTATCACCTTCCGGCCCTCTCCTGCCGTGTATTAATCTCTTAGTCTGAAATTATGATGTAATTTTGTTGTAATTAATGCTTCCGAGGGATCACTTTGTTTCCAGATTTTTCTGGTCATATCTCGGCAATTGTTTGCCTCATATGCTCTCCTTGATAACTAACTAGTGATACCCACTATATCCACAAGTTACAGACTACCAAGCTTGCATGATTTCTGAATCAGCAGTGAACACATATAACCATTTAAGACTCAAAGCACCTATATGACTGAAATACTGTTGGGAAAAGGCGTAAAATGAAACAAACAAACAAACAAGACTCAAGCTGAGATCAATATTCACAAAGAAATTTCTCTTTTGCCACGGATAAAACACCAAAAAAGCCTTTCCATAGATACTAGTTAAGTATGGTACAAAGAATAAATTTTTTTTAAATCTGAAAAACATACCTCCAAAAATTAAGCAAAATAATGGCGCCATTTAAGCTTTACTATTGCACTAATAGAACTATGATTCCACATGTCCATTTCATTTCTTGATTATATATAATTTCAGAGATTTCAAAATCTAATATTATTAGCCAGCCAACAATGTAAAGAATGCTTGCATAGATCTACCAACATTAAAACTCCTATCTCATTTCTTGAAGAATTTAACAAACTTACTTGTATCCCAGGCTCCAAATGCTGAAGTATGGAGACATTTTCTAGCTGCATTTAACATTGGTATGACACTACCAGGTGGGAACAAATCTGTAAAATATAAAAATTATCTCTTCATTTACATTGGTTAAAGATTTGTATATTTGTACAAGTAACATATTTAACTGCCCATAAGACCAGTTACGCATAAAAGACGAGTTACGCATAAACCAAGACTTTAAAATAGCCAGTCCGTCTTGTTAATGAATGACTTATGGCCCTTGTTAGAACAAATATTTTGGTTATATAATCCCCTTAACACTTCTATAACAATTAACACTCCATTTTTGGGGATGTTGAGTTATTCTTATAAGTTCAAATTCTTTAAACTGTCATAAAAGATTTTGAAACATTTATGTTGAAAATTATCTTCAATATATTAAAAAAGCCTGAATTCATATATAGAGAGTAAATAATGAGCAGTCTCATTTTATATTATTGCAGTAAAAGAAAATTCTCAACAAAAACTCAAAGTTTGTCGAGTTAAATTGTTTGCTTCAATTGATAATTTTCTTATTTTTATCCCCACCTCACAAACTTCAAGGCCCTAAAGGCCTCAGTGTATTATCACAAAATTTTTCTCGAACACTTTCATGTAATTTAATAAGAAAGAAGCATAGAAAAAGATATTGGAATAAAAATGATAACATGCAGAACCCGATTTACCCGTAGCCAGCAGGTGGCGCCGTAATTTACTCATGTGACCAGTGCAAACCAAGACCATTCAGATATATATGGTAGGTATATCCTAGCTGTCTGATCATGGTCTATCTAATCGTACAATTATTATAAATAATAGATAACTACATTTATATCAATGCAGCCCTGTTTATGATACAGTTTATTTCCCTGACGGCATCATTATGAGACCATATAAGAGAGAAATGTAAGTTTAACTTGAGCCTAAATCCTTAGTACTCTCGCTGGGAGCTGTGACAATTTAATTTGTACAAGAAACAGAGACATCATTAACTATATACTAGAATTTACCATGCCAAATCTAAATTTTATCCTGCCCACTCTAAACATCTTAAATGGACTTGTCCATCTTTCAATCTGGACAAAACATTTATTAATTTGGGGAAATTTTTTGAATTGGTACTGATTGAGTAGCACATATGGTTGTGATCTAAGAAGGGCTCAAACTAAATTATATATGGACTGAGCTGCTGACACATTAACCACTAGAGGCCACTCTGTGATCTTTTTTTTTTTGAAATCTTATCTAAATCAGAATTAAATTTGTTTTTCTTATTTTTCCATATTTTTTTTATTAAATTCCTTCAACTCAAATAATCAGATTATTATACATAATTATAATAATATGTCCAATTTTTTTTATCTTTTATTATAATAATAAATATATGTATTTGTATATTATAAGTAAGTTCTGTGTTCTTAAAGTTGCACATGCATATCTTTTATACAAACAACACCTGTCACCATGCAAAAAAACCATGCACACCATAATTTGTGATTACATACACAAACCCATTCATTTATTTTATGCTTTTCAGTGGATTACTGATTTATCCGTGAAAATTATATTTGGTAATTTCACAGTGAAAATTATCAAAATACAAGATATGTTTGTAAAACATGTATGCCCCCTATCAGCAGCCAATTAGTCATGTGATAAGGTTATTATGCATGACTTCTGACCCAGTGATCAAACAATTAATAAGGGTTATAAAGTATCTACTGGTCATGACCTTGACCTTTGACCCCTTGACCCAAAACTCAATAGGGGTCATCTGCTGGTCACGACCAATCATCATACAAAGTTTGAAGTTCCTAGGCCTAGGCGTTTTTAGTAAATTGATCAGAAACCGTTTTTACCTACAAGGTCAATGTGACCTTGACCTTTGACCCCTTGACCCAAAAATCAATAGGGGTCATCTGCTGGTCATGATCAATCACCATGCCAAGTTTGAAGTTCTTAGGCCTAAGGGTTCTCTTATTATTGATCGGAAACTGTTTTAACATACAAGGTCAATGTGACCTTGACCTTTGACCCCAAAATCAATAGGGGTCATCTGCTGGTCATGACCAATCACCATGCCAAGTTTGAAGTTTCTAGGCCGAAGCGTTCTTTAGTTATTGATCAGAAACCGTTTTTACTTACAAGGTCATTGTGACCTTGACCTTTGACCCCTTGATCCCAAAATCAATAGGAGTAATCTGCTGGTCATGACAAATCACCATACCAAGTTTGAAGTTCCTAGGCCTAAGCGTTCTTGAGTTATTGATCAGAAACCGTTTTTACTTAAAAGGTCAATGTGACCTTGACCTTTGACCCCTTCACCTAAAAACTCAATAGGGGTCATCTGCTGGTCATGACCAATCATCACACAAAGTTTGAAGTTCCTAGGCCTAAGCGTTTTTAGTTAATTGATCGGAAACCGTTTTTACCTACAAGGTCAATGTGACCTTGACCTTTGACCCCTTGACCCCAAAATCAATAGGTCATCTGCTGGTCATGACCAATCACCATACCAAGTTTGAAGTTCCGAGGCATAAGGGTTCTTAAGTTATTGATCGGAAAGCATTTTTACCTACAAGGTCAATGTGACCTTGTCCTTTAACCCCTTAACCCCAAAATCAATAGGGGTCATCTGCTGGTCATGACCAATCACCATACCAAGTTTGAAGTTCCTAGGCCTAAGGGTTCTTTAGTTATTGATCAGAAACCGTTTTTACCTAAGAGGTCAATGTGACCTTGATCTTTGACCCCTAGACACCAAAATCAATAGGGGTCATCTACTGATCATGACCAATCACCATCTCAAGTTTGAAGTCCCTAGGCCTAAGGGTTCTTTCATTATTGATCGGAAACCGTTTTTACCTACAAGGTCAATGTGACCTTGACCTTTGACCCCTTAACGCCAAAATCAATAGGGGTCATCTGATTGGTCATAACCAATCACCATACCAAGTTTGAAGTTCCTAGGCCTAAGGGTTCTTTTGTTATTGATCAGAAACCGTTTTTAATTAAAAGGTCAATGTGACCTTGACCTTTGACCCCTTGACCCCAAAATCTATATGGGTCATCTACTAATCATGACCAATCACCATACCAAGTTTGAAGTTCCTAGGCCTTAAGGTTCTTTAGTTATTGATCGGAAACCATTTTTACCTACAAGGTCAATGTGACCTTGACCTTTGACCCCTTGACCCCAAAATCAATAGGGGTCATCTACTGATCATGACCAATCACCATACCAAGTTTGATGTTCCTAAGCCTTAAGGTTCTTTAGGTATTGATCGGAAACCGTTTTTACCTACAAGGTCAATGTGACCTTGACCTTTGACCCCTTGACCCCAAAATCAATAGGGGTCATCTACTGATCATGACCAATCACCATACCAAGTTTGAAGTTCCTAGGCCTTAAGGTTCTTTAGTTATTGATCAGAAACCGTTTTTGCTTACAAGGTCAATGTGACCTTGACCTTTGACCCCTTGACCCCAAAATCAATAGGGGTCATCTACTGATTATGACCAATCACCATACCAAGTTTGAAGTTCCTAGGCCTTAAGGTTCTTTAGTTATTGATCGGAAACCGTTTTTGCTTTTAAGGTCAATGTGACCTTGACCTTTGACCCCTTGACCCCAAAATCAATTGGGGTCATCAACTGGTCATGACTAATCACCATACCAAGTTTGAAGTTCCTAGGCCTTAAGGTTTTTTAGTTATTGATCTGAAACCATTTTTACCTACAAGGTCAATGTGACCTTGACCTTTGACCCCTTGACCCCAAAATCAATAGGGGTCATCTACTGATCATGACCAATCACCATACCAAGTTTGATGTTCCTAAGCCTTAAGGTTCTTTAGGTATTGATCGGAAACCGTTTTTACCTACAAGGTCAATGTGACCTTGACCTTTGACCCCTTGACTCCAAAATCAATAGGGGTCATCTACTGGTCATGACCAATCACCATACCAAGTTTGAAGTTCCTAGGCCTTAAGGTTCTTTAGTTATTGATCGGAAACCATTTTTGCTTTCAAGGTCAATGTGACCTTGACCTTTGACCCCTTGACCCCAAAATCAATAGGGGTCATCTACTGGTCATGACCAATCACCATACCAAGTTTGAAGTTCCTAGGCCTTAAGGTTCTTTAGTTATTGATCGGAAACCGTTTTTGCTTTCAAGGTCAATGTGACCTTGACCTTTGACCCCTTGACCCCAAAATCAATAGGGGTCATCTACTGGTCATGACCAATCACCATACCAAGTTTGAAGTTCCTAGGCCTAAGGGTAGTTATCACTCGGAAACCATTTGGTCTACGGACCGACGGACCGACAAGTGCAAAGCAATATACCCCCTTTTTTTCAAAATGGGGGCATAATAATTTCACTCTTTTCAATGACGAAACTACTTTTTTAAGATTTTCCCCATGTGGTACCTCAATTTTATTTTTGCTGACAATTCTGACAATGTCAGGCTGTTTAAAGAAAAAGCAAAACTGAAATTGATAAATAACTTAAATGTCAAAAGATGAAAAGTAATAAAAAGAAGAAAACTTACTTCTATTCATTCAAATTCATGAAATTCCAATCACCAAATTTCGTTTTTTTGTTTCATTTTGACAGTCTCAAAAATACATTCCTTCCCCATGCAAAACTGCTCTTGATGACATTTGGGCATATTAAAGTATCCTACGAGCAATAACTGCCGTATGCTTTATGAAAAATTGAAAGCATTGACAGCCATAACTCGAAGAATAAGTTAAATCAACCCAGCGTTCTTGAGCAGGTTTCCAAATTTTCCATTTTCCTAGCTCCTTTTCTGAATGTTTTCACATCTGTCAACACTTATTTTTTGTCTGTTACAATCCTCAAATAAGTTTTCTTTCTTTTAAAAATGTGTATGACTAACAAATCCAAATTATATCCCTCTGAATCTTACACAATTATTTTCCTCCCATGAAATACACAACTTTTAAAAATGGCTGCCGCTTACAATTTACAAAGCCAGGTCTAATATAAATTCGCACTAAGTAACAGAAATATGGATGGATGGTTGGGCTTTTTCTCCTACAAGA